GTGCGCGGCCGCGCGGCCGCGCACCTTAGAGGGAACAGTGCCAAGCAGGCTCATTTTATAGCATGTACCGGCCTTCCATCTGCTAGGAAGCTGGCCAAACTGTTTATTGCCCATGTCTATAGACTCCATGGCATCCCCAAAAGGATAATTTCAGACAGGGGAGTGCAATTCACTGCCCGGTTCTGGCGTAGATTCGTGGCAATGGTGGGGTCTTCACAGGGACTTAGTAAAACCTTCCACCCCGTGACAAATGGTGGGGCGGAGATGGCAAATGCGATGGTGGAGCGCTACTTGAGATGTTATGTCCAGTACCAACAGACCGATTGGGCTGAACTCCTCCCCTTTGCAAAAGTTGCATATAAAAATGCAGTGCACAAAAGTACGGGGTTTACCCCATTTCATGTGGCTACAGGGCAGGAGTTCGTCCCAATTTCAGAGTGTCCTCAAGTGCACCCAGATGACACAACCTCGCAGGAGTGGATAGCCTGGATGCAAAAAGTTTGGAAAGTGGTGAGGGGTGCGTTATGTCACTCTTTTGCCACATATAAAAGGAGTGCCAATAAAAGGCGGAAGGTGCAAGGACCTTTCCACGTAGGGCAGAGGGTATACCTCTCCACTAAATATCTTAGGCTGCCTTTGCCATGTAAGAAACTTGGGCCCAAATTCATTGGGCCTTTCCCAATCATGCGAGTTATTAACCCAGTCACAGTGCAGCTAAGACTCCCCCCTTTACTGGGAAAAACACATCCAGTCTTCCACTGCTCCGATCAATTCAGGCCTCTGATATCAGAGGAGACCCGCTACGGCCGCCAGCCCCGGTTACTGTAGATGGAGAACAGCACTATATAGTGCAAGATATATTAGATTCCAGGTGGCACAGGGGACAGTTACAATACCTTATTTTATGGAAAGGTTATCCCCTGTCGGAGGCATCTTGGGTTCATAGCAAGGATTGTAGGGCACCCCACCTGGTAGCGAGATTCCACTGCAGACATCCCACAAAACCGGGGGAAAGGGGTCCTTCATCTCCTAACTAAGTGTAATTTGTAGCTCCCCAGATGCTGTCTCCATGGTAGGGGGCCGTATGTCAGCTCCGGCCAGCCCAGAGACCTGGAGCTGCCATTCAGGGGAGAAGACTGGGCCAGCTGCCAAGACTCACCATCCCACCTCCACAAACTGAAGAAACTCCTGCTAACAATCCATGATTTATTGCTGGGTGGTTTTCACTCGGGTCACAATGTGATGGGTGTGCGCACGCGCTTTGTGCAGTTTATCTTAATTACCAATGTACTTGGTGGTGGGAAGCACAGGGTGGCAGCTCTGACAATTTATTCATTGCCTTAGTGCTTTGTTGGTTAGTTTGTGCTGAAGGAAGAATACAAACTGCATTTACAAAGTGTTTCTGTGTTTGGCTGGTTTCATTAACCCTTCAGAACCTGACAGGAGAGAGATGAGAGAGCTGAAGGGAGAGAATGAGAGAGGGAAAAGGGCGGGAAACAAATGAGAGAGAGAGGGAGAAAGAGATGAGAGAGGGAGAAATATAAGAGGGAGGGGGAGGGAGGGAGGGAGGGAGAGAGAGAACGATGAGAGGGAGGGAGTGGGAGAGATGAACGTGAGAAAGAGGGAGGGAGAAAGAAAGAAATGAGAGGGAGGGAGGTAGAGAGGGAGAAAGAGATGAGAGTGGGAGAGAAAGATGAGAGAGGGAGAGAAAGATATGAGACGGGGAGGGGAGAGATGAGAGAAAGATGAGAGGGAGAGGGAGAAAGAGAAAGAAAGACAAAGAGTTGAGAGAAAGTGATGAGAGAAAGAGGGAGGGAGAGAGAAATGGAGAAAGAGAAAGAGATGAGAGGGAGGGAGGGAGAGGGAGAAAGAGACAGAGAAAGAGATGAGAGGGAGAAAGAGATGAGAGGGTGGGAGACAGACAGAGATGGGAGAGGAAGAAAGAGAGATGAGAGGGAGAAAGATGAGGGGGGAGGGGAGAGATGAGAGAGAGAGAGAGATGAGAGGGAGAAATGAGAGGGAGAGGGAGAAAGAGAAAGAAAGATGAGAGTTGAGGGACAAAGAGAGAAGAGAGGTAGGGAGAGAAGGAGAAAGAAAGATGAGAGAGGGAGAAAGAGAAAGATGAGATGGAGAAAGAGAGATGAGAGAGAAAGGGAGAAAGATGAGAGAGGGAGGGAGAGAGGGGAGAAAGAGAGATGGGAGAGGGAGGGAGAGGCAAGAGAGATGGGAGAGGGAGACAGAGAGAAAGAGAGATGAGAGGGAGAAAGAGAGATGAGAGGGAGAAAGAGAGACACATACAGAGATATACCTATTTCCCATAGAAAACACTGGGAGCCACAAAACCTGGGTAGATGTGACTTGGGGGGTGT